ATTTCCCTCGAAGTGAATATACTTTAATTTATGTCAGAAGGGTGTATGTAATCTGGGTGTGAACAAACTATCTAGAATACTATTAACACTCTTGTGGGAGCGAGGCTGGATTACTGCAATAGTTTATTGTATGGTATAGCAAATATCCAATTATCTAAATTGCAGAGGGTACAGAATGCAAAAGCTAAGATTGTTTTGAAAAAAAATAAAATTACCATATTACACCTTTGATTTCTCTTCACTGGCTGTCAGTAAAGAATCGGATTGTATATAAATTATTGATGTTAGTATACAAAGCCCTCATCGGCCAGTCCCCCAAATATATTACCGAAATGTTCCATTCACACGTGTCACTTTTGTACACTCCCAGGTCTTCTACAAGCTCTTTAAACTTACTTGCAGTACCATTGTCACGTTTAGTAACATGTGGTGATAGGGAATTTGCTGTATGAGGACCACATTTGTGGAATTCTCTACCAAAACATGTAAAAAAAAAATAGAACAATATTAACGATTTTAAGGTACATTTGAAAACTTATTTGTTTGAGAAACCATATACCAGGTAATTTGTAATTATTTCTTTGATATAGTTTGTAGTATTTATGTCATGCGCTCTTGATCAGTTATTACTATAAATAGAGCAATACAAGTAAATTTATACACTCCCATAGTTTATTGTATTAAAAAACAAAACAAAGCAAAGCAAGAATCTGTATGCAAGTTATTCCCACAAAGCAAATGCGGAGGAGTGCATTAACTGACACATAATATCGGGGTACACGAAAGTAAATCCTAAACATGAATTAATAATAATAATAATTTCATTCAACACGAAAATCTACTACAGAGAGTAAGACAGAAATAATACTTCACGCAACTAATATCACAAATAGCACGAGGAGAAACATGATAAGCTAACGTTATTGTTTAGAACAAATGAAAACTGAAATACAGTTCACTCCACCAAAATCTCGAATAAAACATTGAATAAATGTAACTAAGAATGGAAGAAAAAAAGCAAAAAAAAAAAAAAAACTACTAAGCTACTAAATATGCTATTGCATTAAAACCACCTGCAGACTTATTTGATGGAGTTACTATGTTCCATCTCTTACGTTCAGATTAAAAATCCAGATTTTGTTGTCCTCTATATATTTAAGGTAGAGATGCAGTTTATTTGTGAATTTCAATCAAAAATAGTTTTTTTCGTTTTTAATGTAGATTTTTATCTAAA